TGTTACTTGTGTTGTTGACTGAGATTGTATGAATTATGGTGAGTTGGGAAATGTTATTACTGGGATGCGTTGGGAAATGCTATTACCGGACAGAAATTTTTGATTATTTGTTTTACGGGGATTTCTTTGTGCAACGATGCGTTGGGAAATGCTATTACCGGACAGAAATTTCTGATTATTTGTTTTACGGGGATTTCTTTGTGCAATTTCTTCATACTTAACTGTTTACGAAATTTTGATCATTCGTATTACTGGGATCTTTCGTCTGAAATTTCACAAGCTCCCTGTGATCGTTGTCTGTGCTATCATATGAAAGATTTGTTTTGTATAATGGGTTTTTAAGAAAAAATTTCAGATGTTGGGTATGTGAATATATAGGAATTGGCTTATATGCATGCAAAAACAAAGCTTTGTATTTTTAAGGGAGGGGTGATGGAATTATGGTGCTTATGGTGCTGCTGGTGGAAAATATTTTATTGGCATTAATGAAGCATGAATGTGAAGCATAATTATGTTCCAAGTATAATTAGTCGATACTTCTCCAAAGGTATACAAGCACTTGTGAGCTTAGCTGCGCAAAACATTAAGCCAGCGGATCTATCGTTCGCAACTATTCTTGAATGATTGCAAATGAACCCCGTTACATGCCGTATTTCAAAGTAAGTTTTATTAGTTTGTTACTTTAATTTTATAACCTGTTAAATTGCTAACTATGAGTAACAGAACTGCATTGGAGCAATTGATGGTACGCACAATGGATGTCCAACTATCAAGCCACTAAAAAATTGCGTACATTGATCGGAGTGGTACAACAACCCAAAATGTCATGACAGTGTGTGATTTTAACATGTGCTTCACATTTGTAATGGCGGGGGTGAGAAGGAAGTGCACATGACAGTCATCTTTTTTCCTATGCAATTAATAATAGAATACAGTGTTTCCCTCACCTACCTCCAGATTTGTTCATTTCACTTCAACCTATAAATTACATTTATTATTTTTAATTAATATTGTCTTTCATAACTGGAAAATATTATTTGATTGATGATGGATATCTGATGCTAAGGGGCTAACTGAAGCCCTATCCAAACACCAGATACTATATTCCTGATTTTGAGCGAGCAAGTGCCACGATTCGTGGCAGAAAATAAATGTTTAACAAACGACACTCCTCTGTACGCGGGGTTATTGAAAGAACATTTAGGTTGTGGAAGAAGAAATGGGTTATCCTACGTGATATGTCGTCATATCAATTTCCCAAATATGTGCATATTGTGATGGCCACTATGTCACTTCACAACTTCATCCGATGACATCTCTCTCAATCAGATACGAACTTCACTTTGGCTAATGATGATCAACTTATTTACTCTCCAGAACCTTCAGGATTTTTCGTTGGTAAAACATTACCTGAGGATGAGATTGATTCAATTGAATTTGAAACTCATGATAGTGAGGGTGTAGTTGAGATGACTGCTTTGAGGGAGTCTATTGCATTTCCTATATATGGATGTTGATTCAGCCATGCATCTTTATTTATTATATGTTCTTTTGGGATGTAATTCAATGTAGTATGAATTTGTATTTTAAGGTTTTATAAAGAATTTTGTATCTTTGATTTGGGATGCAATTCATTGTAGTATAAATTTGCATTTTGTTTTAAATTATTTATTTTGTTTTGTTTTGTTTTTGTTTTATTTTGTTATGTTTGATTTTTGTATGAATTTTCCTTTATTTCCATATATAAAACTTAATTTAATTTTATGATATGATAAATTATATCTTTTGATTATTTTATCTCAGTAGCAGTATGAGCTCTAGGATTTCAGGGACCTCCCAAGTTGTGTTGTGTTACTGTGGATTACCGGCTCCCTTACTCACGTCACGTCAGCCGCATAGCAGCGGGAGATAGTTCTACGGTTGTCAAAGGGGTGTTTCAGCAAGATGTGATTTCTTCCGTTGGGCTGACATTTTGACATACTTTCATGCTGACAGCGATCGTGTTACAATGGTTTCCCAAGAGCACAGTGCCGCTGAGGACAGACGATGTCACAGTTTTAAATTGAACGTTTTAATTTTTTTACTTGTACTTGTAATTGTATTTCTTCTTATTTTACTTGTTTTGATACTCACGATTTGATACTCACGAAGTGACTTGTTTTGATACTCACGAAGTGGTGAGCAATGTATTTTATTTTTTATAACTGAACTGCAATAGTTTGAGACATCTGTTTTATCTATTATTTTCGATAAACAGTTCTGTTGCAAACTGCTTAATCAAACAGGACAGAATGATCATTTATTCAACAACAGCTCCCAGTAAACTGTTCTGAATAAGTTGCCTCAAACAACAATCCAGCTTATTCTGATAATCTGCAGATTATCAGATTATCAGAATATTATAAATAATCAACAATTGCCCCGAACAGACCCTAAGTATTGACAGTTTTTTCAAAAGCTAACACTGAAATTTATGTTTTCCCATCACTCTTGATTGAGTGTAATGATAACTTTCTAGCGGCTGTCAGACATTTTAAAAAACAAATTGTAATAGTCACCACAATTTTCTTAGCATCAAAATATTACTATGCAACTTCACAGCTGTTTTTTAATAAGCTGCAATTGCCCCAAATAGACCATTAGTAAAAAACTGAGATTGATGATGACTAACTGGTACCAACAAAGCAACTCACCTTGAAGTTCATCAAGAAGATATCTGAACCTTTAACCAAGGAAAAGCTGAGTCAATAAGGGAACTTATCATCGCACGAGAGAGCCCACTTGAGGGAAGCTGAAATCAAAATCAAATTTTAACACCATATTGAAAACCATATGGGATTTACATACACAACACACAATTTCTATATATTTACATATATAACACTTAAGTGATTCGTATTTATAAATGCCCCCTATTTTAAAAACAGGCTATCACTTTATCATTACAAATCAGCTCGTGTTCGGCTCGTTTATATTTCGAGCTCAAAAAGTGTGTTCGTGTTCAGCTCGTTTGCTTAACGAGTCGAACACGAGCTGTTCACGAACAAAGAGTACTTTTAACAACCCTAATCATAGTCATAAGACATAAGACAATAAGGGTTTGAGCAAGTTTTAAAAATTATTATTTATATTAAAACATCATTTTAATCTAATTTAATGATTTTTATTATATTTTCTTTATCAATATTTTAATTGATCATAAATCTTTGTAGCCTTGTAGTCAATTAGATTTTTTAAAAATACTACTTAATATATATATAAACTTGATGAGTAGTATTTCGAGCCAAAACGAGCCGAAC